GAATCAAAACGAGATTTTACTAGTTTTCTCAATTTTATTCATAAAATATGTATCATAATAACAATTTTTTTCTTAAAATATTAATTACTTACTATAAAGATGTTGGTGGCATTATCTACTGTATAACTAATTAAAATATTTAAATGTTATGAATAAGTTGTATGACCAAAAGTGTACACTAGCACTCTGAACAATTCGACACTGAGTTAAGATGATCATTATAAAATAAAATGTATTTTGAGCAATAAACTAAAATAGTAATATAACTAGGTTTTTTTTGGATCTTCCTGAGACACTCTGTATTGTACTTGTAACTAAAGAATGGACCGGAAATATATGGTGTTCTAAACCTTTTTTTGGAAACCTAAGATTAACAAGACCAGCAAAATAATTATGGTACACAATAATTATGCATTTTTTAATATTGATAAACCAATAATCATTTAGAAATATTATGTACCTGAAACATTCGAACATTAACCTTCATTGCTCACAACTCCTATCATACTTTACCATACTATATTTTTTATTTTGAAAAGAGTTTGGCCCCTCAAATCGATGGTTTCCTAGCCAATCATAATCCAGGCTTGTATCACTACAAAATACGTGATCGTGAGTTATAGCCTATAAGATTCATAGAATTATTTTACTGTCTAGTTCTGTGTTTTTGTACGTAGACTTATAAATCTAATAAAGTTTTTTTAAAGATTATTGGTACAAGTAAAATATTTTAGTAACGAAATAATATGGAGATATTTTTGGATCTTTAACGTATTCAACCCCAACTTGTACCGTAACAATATGATCGTCACATAAAAATMAACWTAATACAATTTAACTACTGATATCGATAGTTTAGGTGCAGGTACCTTATAATAAATGCTATCGTCGATATTTATATGCAGTACCTATTATATCTGTTATAGTAGAAATCAAAACACAATAGTTCAGCAACAATTTTCACAGAGGGTTGTGATAATATATCCGTGTTGTAAAAAATAACAATAATATGTCCCGGTGGCTACGCGTTTCGAATTTGGGCAGTCAAAGAAACGACTACGCGTTTTGTATTATCGTTTAACCTAAAAATTATAGTTTTTAAATGATTTTTGTTTGCGAAATCTKGGTTGGAAAGTCACACATTCACGCGTACAATAGTCACAGTCGTCATAAAATACGTGACCATAATGCCGATGGCAGCTAAGAGTGAAGACTGCATTTTATATKATGCTACTATAGAATGATCCGATTTGTCGGCCGTTATTCAATAATACAAGTCTTATCTATATATACGCGACATATCACTTCATCTAATCAGGCACGTGTCGATTATAATTATGGTCGAGATCGATCACTCCATGTGCAGGAGTACGAATATAACAACAATAATATATACGTATCTTGTACCTAATTATAAATACATATACATAGACAATCGTATGATTGCATTATATTATTATAACGTTGATGTCTGTGCGAGTGATTTCGATTTTCGAGCGTAACGAAACAAAAAAAAAAAAAACATTTGAAATTAAAAATAGAAAACCATTAATACATATTATTGTTGTGTAGAGTATCATAGTTTCACATTCGGTGTTGTCAAATGAGTAAATTCTTGTAAGTTTGTTTCACATCCAAGAGATCAAATCTATTGATTCATCTGCGTATGGTGATGGTGTTCCTGTAGTGACCGCGTATTACGAACGTTCTTCTACCGGTGTTTCCRGCCGACATACGGCCGATTTGAGCATAATATCAAAAAATTTGTTTGAAATTTAAAAGAGAAACCCTTCAACGCACATGTGGCAATACTGTTTTTCATTCAATATCGTCAAATCGGTTTATTCTTGTAATTATTGTTTATCACGTCCTAATCAAATCCAWTGACACCCATGTCTACGAGTTGAAGGTTTCTACGTGATACGAGTATTAATCACGGTCTTCATCTTCAGGTGTTTCCGTCAAATACTGTTTTCGACGCTATTCACCACTGCCACGCGGTTGTAGTGTAGGTAGGTACCCAACAGTACCATTCGTGTATTGACGTGAAAGAAAACTTTACTTGTACGACCTCGACGTCCTGCTGGTCCAATGTAAACATACATGTGACGTGTCGCAGTTACTTTTTGCGGATGACAATGATGGCACATTGGCACGTAGTAATAGAAAATGTAGGTTTCCGCAATACATATAAATATATAATATATTATGTGGTTTTCGAAAAATATGTGTTTTTCTGGATTGTTAATTGTTTAATTCTTGGCCGAATACCGAGTGAATAATATACATATATATTATATATATAATATATATATATATATACTTACCTATATACGACTGTAGGTAAGATTCTAAGATACCTAATTGATTTTTGATGAAATGAAAAACTTTCACTCTGCGACTCCCGAAACGATACAATGTGGTCAACGACGAAAAAAAAATATGTTGCCTAATTCATCGATGCCGAATTCACACTAAAATATGAAACTGAAATTCGTTTACGTAATTATCGTTGTATACACTTATAATATAATTATTTATAGAAAAGTGTATAGGCATATTAACGTCAAATTTATATGTTATCTTTTCGACAAGTACGCGACCCACTTGTACGCATTCGTCGAACAGCGGTGTAGTTTTAAAAGAATTTTTTGTAAAACAATTTATTACCGTCGTATCATCTCTACAAACAGTTTTTTCACGGTCCGTTGATGGCGCGACTCCATAATGACTGTATAATCGTCTTTTCGTTTGCATATTATTGAAAAAAATAAGAAACAAAGTCGAATTAACCGACTTCAGGGACGGATAGACAAACGAACGAAATTTTCCATTTCGGGGCACACGCGTAAACGATAGAATAGCTATCCTATATTAGGTTAAGTATACCTATACAATATAATATTGTAGTAACAATATTATAATTTATCTACTTGCATATTATTATTATTATGCGTTTGTGATGGAAATTATTTGGAACACTGATTCTTCCACATTATTATTTTATATTTTATATTTATACGTGTGAAAACTGATTCAGTAACTGATTCTGTAAATTGATGTCGTCCATAAAATCGTGCGTGTGTGTGTTCGATCAACATTATAATATATTATTATGGTCACCTGTCACGTACCCATAATAATGCGTATCGGAAGGAACATTTGATTTTCCAACCGGTGAAATGAAACCGCAGTTATTTGTGTGTGWGTRTGTGTCCTATGCAATGAATTTCCAATAAATTCGATTTCGTCAAAAATGAACAATGATTGTTGGTGTACCGAGTTAACAAGTTTTCACGATCGACAATTTGATGTTTTCACACGGCGATTATTGCGTTCGTGCACGGGGACACCGTAAATCGAATCAATCGCATTTTTCATCGACTGGAAATTTCCGTTCATCGGATCCTGCGGAATTTGGGAACATAGATAAATATAATTTTATGCGTGCTTTGCTGAACTATTAGTTGCATTCTGAAATTAAAAAAAAAAAAAAAAATTATGCTTGCTTGCTGACCATTATTGTGCGAAGTATTAAGTATGTAATTTACATTGTACTTTTTGAAGACATACAATTTATAATTTCAACAAGCATAGGTCAACTCGCACATACAATATTTCAAATTTTAATCGTTTATTTATATGTACCTAAATTTCTACTATCACTAGAACAGCATTTAAATATATTTTTTTTTTTTGATGACCGTGTATGATTTTTCTTGATGATAATCTTCTTAAAAACATCCTTAGAGATCAATGAAAACAATCAAATATCCAATGCAGTGGCGTCATTTCAGGTTTTGAAAGGGGGGGAGGACAAAAAAAACCACTCGCTAACAATTACATTTTTATCTCAGTACAAACAGTCTTCTTATATCTTACACAATTATATTTATACTAGTTAGTTATCTGTGATAACTGTGGTTACTTTAGGCATAAATAACACATTTTTTTCGAAAGATAACAATGACTAATTAATACATAGGTATATAAAATATAATATGTAGAGGGATACCCTATATAACCTATTAGTATTTAGCATTGAGTAATTAATATATACTCAATGCTATTAGCTACTATATGATGACATATTCTAATGGGAATTTTACCCCAATTTATGTCTTATTTGCACCAAATATGAGTTAATGGTATTAAAACTAGCACCATATACCCGGCCCGGGCCGGCCAAGTCGACCGGCCCGATAGTAGCCCGCTAATGACAAGGGTGGGGAGCAAATGCCCACCTTGCCCTCCCCCCAAATGACGCCACTGATCCAATGACTTTGCGTTTAACTACATTAAAATCCAATCATGTGGAAAATAATATATTATACAAACCACTAGTGTAAAATATACATATTCTAATATGTATATAATCTTATTTTATTTAATTCCAGTATAATTACTAATGCACTGAAGAACTACTCGAGTGTAAACAGCTGATATTTAAAAAAAAATTAAAATTAACAATGAATTTTAAATGATAGTTTGGTATACTGTTAAAATATAATATGATACATATAAATATATATACAATACGACATATCTCAAAAAATCGGAGAAGCGTTAGGACCTGATACCCAATCAATCTCCAACATCCTACAGTTTATAAAAGAAATTCAGCTATACAACCTTATTTATTCCACAATGTAGATATAATATTGTAATTGTTAACTAATTTTAAATTACTGTAAATTTGTAAACTAATGGCCACAGAAGCCGATGTTTTATATAAGATCATAAGATCAATAAAAAAAAATATATATATATACGTATATTATAACCTAAYCTTAGTCGTTGATACAGCTGTAGTTTTCCCCTTTGGCAATATTTTTATTATCTGTATTCTATGTATATAATTTATATTATATCTACATTTAATTTATGGAAATCAGGTCTAGCTATTATTATTATTTTTTATATCATCTTAACATTAATATTATTATATTATATTGTTATATTGTTAACTGCGTTTTCGTTACGATAAACGAATGTAGGTCATGTGGAAAAGGTGTGTGTCCAAGAACTACGTAACGTGCGCAAAGCTGGCACTGGTTCATCTTGTGGACCGTTTGGAGCGGGCCAATGACAGCTACTCATTAGTATCCGGCGTCACGGTGTCCAGCCATAAGTTGGCCGGTCGAGCAGAGGACGGCAATGGAAACGTACCAGCGCAAACGACCGCAGGCCGTGACTCGTCCGAGGCTTTTGACCGATTACTCGTCGACAAATTAGGCCGGTACTTCGGCACGCTTACACTCAACGTCAAGCTGTTGGACGATGCGACAGTGCAGTCGGTCCGGAAGTTGGGAGAGGCTGCGGCCGACGCATCTATTCAATCGGGTATGTAGTATTTTATAGGTATATAATGTGAAAATAATAATCACCTCGTCTGTTTACTCACTTTTTTGCTCCAAATTTCCAAAGACGTTTTCAAAAAATGTTACTGTCTAGCGTCAGAAATTCTAAAATGACTTGCAGGTGGTGTACTGGTGTGCAATTTTAAGACACAACATTTACGGTTCATTATTTTTTTGGAATTTTCTAATATAATTTGTTATCCAATTAAGTAAATGTTCTTATGGATAATAAAAATTTAATTAAAYCTAAAATACCATTGCACTAATACAGTTCGTAATGAAGTTCGTAATTTATTAAAATAAAAAATAAGAAGTTTTACGATTCTGAAGCCTTGTTATGAACAGACATCATCTAATTGCATGACATATTTTATTAAATGATTTGGTCATTATCAAAGGTCTACCTGAATTTCACTCCATGAGTCATAAGTAAGATTCATAAGATTATTGTAATCTGTATTATATTATAATATACCAATATTATTTATAGTAAACATAGCATTTTTATTTATCATATTTTTATTTAATTTGTGTGTTAACTATAATAACTGTGTATTTATTTTTCGGTATTTCAGGTCAAAAAAAAAAAAATCAATAAGTTAAAAAGTGAAAAAATAAATATTTGATTTAAAATTATTGTTGAAACTAAAAATTGATTTAGTTATTTTTCTTGTTTATAATAAAATCGAACACAAATTTACTGTTTGATAATATTACTAATATTTTTTTGATGATATGATCACATGGCTCATAATCATCATAAACAATTTTAAACTAGGAGAATAATCAAGAATGTAATATAACGAAACCAAAAGAAGGAATTTTTTAGGTGCATTCTAACCAAATAAAAAAATCTAACCTCTAATTAGTATTTAGTACTATGTAGTAAAAWATTCACTACTAATTTAATTGTGGATTGATTGAATTATGAACCACTTTAACCGTATAAGAGCACAATATTGMGTGACATAGTMATAGCTGATACTTAAATGGATAATAATAATTGAACTAAATCGTAACTCTGTTTGTGCAATGAGTTGGGAGACTTGATAAATTTTCTATCAAAATGATTGCTTTTCCGAAGGATAATATTAGAGTTTCTATTGTGTGCATTTATTTGTGCGATTACGTTGTTTTGTGGTTTTTTTCGAACCTGTCAAAATATAATATCGTATTAGCGAAATCTATATAGATATARGCAACGGAATCGTTTATTATCCGAATGGGTCGACCACTATTAAACAAACAGCTCTCGATTGAAATAAATTGATTTCCATCGATCAACAATATTTTATACGTGCAAGTCATTCGCGCATTTTTTCATTAATTGCAATAATTGGTTATTCATAATTTCATAATAGTACAACAGGAATATTTTCGAAATAAAAGGATGTCGACCRACCGAATCGTTTCCAGTAGGTCATAATCATAAAGGTATTGTAATACTCTAATGGCATTGCATTGAAAATATTTTGCGAGTCGWCCAATTATTCGGAAACAAATTTCTTGAAAGAGTATTACTTTCGTATAAATTCCAAAAAACGTGATTTGAATCTCAATAGGTATTTCTTATTAATTTAAACGGACGAATCTTAATTTTTTTATTCTTAAAGAGTATAAACCATTTTTTAGTGAATAACATATTGTTTTTGTATTTATAATATTGATATTGCCCTTATTTCATCCTCAAATCAAAAATGTATAATCGAGATTTTGCATCAGATAAAAAAATTCAAAATAACGTTCTTCGTTTAGATTAAAGTAGATAATTAATCTAAACTCTCAAAGTGTTCATAATTTATAAAMGAGGTGTACCTATAACTCGTAAGACGCGTATATATCACCTGCAGTTTATTTTTATTCCCCTGGAGATTCGAGTAGTTATCCGARAGACTCGATTGATATACTTATGTCACCTATATGTATATTGTACATACATATTTTTATAAATAATATAGGTGAATGAAAAAAGTTCAATATAAAAGTTATACGTTTACCTACCAGAGAACCACCTAGAACAACAACGACAAAACAACTATAACGATAATTTTTATAATATTATCCGGTCGGCTGTTTTTCGCAGGCAGGGGAAAGAAGCAAAAGTACGCGCAGTCCATCCTGTTGGCCGGATGGGTGACCGGTGCCATGCTGCTGGCGCTCGGTATGAAGGCGATCGCCGTTCTCGCGGGCAAGGCGCTCATGACGGCGCTCATGTCGCTGCTTCTGTCCGGACTAGCGTCGTTCCGCGCTGGCGGTCACTCTGAGCCCAAGAGCACCACTTACGAGATCGTCACCAAGCCGGTGTACTCGCACTCACACTCGACCGCGGACGACACACACTCAGCCGGCTCCCAGAACAACCCCACGTACAGACGATCCATCGGCAGTGGAGCAGGTGGTGGCAGCGGCGTCATGGGGTTGCAACCGGTGCCGGTTCCGTCATCGGCTGAGGATGCCGACCACGTCGTGTACCGTATACATACTTCCGATAAGACGCCCAT